TAGGTGACTCAATAAATACATTATGGATTTGTTCCTAGAGAGCTTCAAATCGGATTTTCACCATTTACAATGTAGAACTCTGAATCATAAACCTACCGATAAAATTTTAACTCAATCAGACCACGGATCGACTTTTGTTCAACCAACACTCCTTTCTCTTTTTTTCTCTCCATCTTTTCTTGCTTTTATTTTTTCTATTCAGTGCTTCTTTTTTTTTTTATTACAAAAACTAGCTCTCACATTTTTTATTATGTAGGGCTCTCTTAGGGCAGCCTAAAAAATAAGGCCCATGGCCTTTGAAAAGTCAAATAACACATGGGGCTGGACCCTAATCTTCTTAAAAATCTTCCCCTTTAGCCCTATTAGGAGGAGATTTACCACCATAACAGTTTTATTTGAAACTTACCTTGGCCAAGAAACCCATTCTGACCAAGTCGCTATAAAGCTTCAAGCTTTTCCTTAAAAAGTGTCTTAGTCAATATAACTGCTGCATTCTTATCAATATGGACTTTCTTTAATAGCATCTGTTGTTCCTCAATCACTAAATGTAATCAGTGATATCTAACATCAATGTACTTTGTTCTAGCATGGTACATGATATTTTCACTCAAATCTAATGCACTTTGACTATCACAAAACATCACATACTATTTTTGATTCAACCATAATTCAAGAAGAAAACGTTTCATCTAAAGCATTTTTTTACCTACTTAAGCTGCTATAATATACTCAGCCTCTATAGTTGATAAAGCAACACACTTTTGTAACTTAGACTACCAAGACACAGCTTTTCTTGTAAAAGTGAACAAATACCCTGAATTAGATTTTTTACCATCAAAATCACATGTCATGTTAGCATCAATAAACCTTTTTAGAACTAGTTGTGAAACTTCATAACTTAAGTATATTTTTGAAGTGCCTTCAAATATCTAAAAATTCATGTTACTACTTCTCAATGAACCTCTTTCGGATTAAAAAGAAATTTGCTCACTACACCAACTGCATGAGCAATGTCAAACCGTGTATAAATAATAAAATACATCAAAGAATCGATTGTAAAAGAATAAGAAATACTAGACATAGTTAGTTACTCTTCTTTAGACACCGGACAAGATTTTTTACTCAGACGAAAATGATTGGCAAGTGGACTACTAACTGATTTAGCATGTTACATGTTAAATCTACTAAGCACCAGTTTATTATACTTTTTCTGTAACAACCTAACTTTCGAGCTCTTATATCTGAAATAATATCCATACTGAAAATCTGCTTTGTTGAACCTAAATCTTTCATGTCAAAGGACTTAGACAATCGTTCTTTCAACTTGTAAACCATATTAGCATTTTATCATATAATCAACATATCATCAACATATAATAAGAGAATAATGAAGTTACCATCAGAGAATTTTTTAACATATACACAAAAATCCATTACCATTCTTTTGTAGCTATGGCTCACCATAAAAGAACCAAACTTTTTGTAACACTATCACGGAGCTTGTTTCAAGCAATACAAGTTTTTCTTCAGTTTAAAAACTAAGTACTCTTTTCCTTTCATTTCAAAACCCTCAAGCTAATTTATATAAATGTCCTCCTGCAAGTCACCAGGCAAGAATGAAGTTTTAACATCAAGTTGCTCGGGCTCATAATTCAAACTAGCTGTTAATCCTAGTACCACTTGAATATAACTCTTCTTCACAACTAAAGAAAAGATCTTATCAAATTCAATGCCAAGTTTATGATAAAAAGCTTTCACTGCTAATCGAGCTTTGTACATCACTAGTTTGTCATCATTTTTTTCAACTTGAACACCCATTTATTTTTCAACAACCTTCTCTTTTACGAAAGTTTAACAAGATCACACATACCATTTTTTTACAATGACTCTATATCATCTTTCATTACTTTTAACCAGTGCTCTCTATCCAAAATAATCTACACATCTTAAAAACTATCTGGCTCTCTCTCACTAGTAACTAAAATAAAATCTAAACTTAGATACCTAGTAGATAGTCTGTGCTCTCAGGTAAATCTCTTACGTTGAGACTTTACACCACCTGATGCCAAAGGTAGTTTCTCCTATTTAATATTCTCTGGTGGAGGGACTGTTCACCTTGCTAAACCTCTCAGGTAGAGAGGATTACTCATTTGACTCAAAATTGATTACATCTGGCTCATCACTAACTATGACTAACTTATTCATATCCTTAAGTTTTATTTCTTGCTTATTTTCATCATCTATGACTCTTTTTTATGAAAATCCTATTGGTGTTGAAATGTCACACTCAACTGTAACCTGTATAGTCTTCTCATTTTTCTCAAGATTTGTTATGATTTCTTTTTCATAAAAAACCACATTTTTTCTTTTTACTTTTTTTTTAATAGATCCCTTACCATGTAACCAAATTTTTCATCACCATATCTTATAAACACACACTGTATGGCTTTACTGTCAAGTTTTGACCTCTACTCCTATGACACATACATGAATGCTTTACACTCAAAAACTTTCAAATAAGAGTATGAAGCATCTTTTCCTGCCCACACTCTTTTTGAAATGTCAAAGCCTAAAGAAACTTATGGTAATCTGTTAAACAAATAACAAGTTGTGTTGACTGCTTCACTCTAAAATGACTTTAGTAATTTTACCATCTCAATATTAATCTGACTTTTTCCATAATAGTACGATTCATCCTTTCAGCTATACCATTATGCTACGGTATTTCAGGTTCTGTCATCTTATGCATGATCTCATGCTTTAAATAATACTCTTTAAAGTCGTTGGATACGTATTCCCTACCATTATCAGTCCGAAAAAACTTCAATAGCAGCCCTGTCATTCTTTCCACCATGGCATAAAATTTTTGAAAATATTGCAATACTTGGCTTTTATTTTTCAATATATACACCCAAGTCTTATGTGAAACACTATCAATAAAAGTAATAAAATACCTGCTATCACCTAAGGACTCAACCTTAATGGAATCACATGCATCAGAGTGAATCAATTACAACCTATTTTTTTAGAGCTCTTAAAAAAAACTTTACAATGCTTGCCAAACAAACAATGATCACATAAATCAAGAAACATACTTTTGGTCAAGGTAATGAGAGACTACCTTGCCAAAACCTATAACCTCTTCTTACTCATATATGATAGCTTTTTATGCCACATATTTACTGAAGCATTATCCTCAACGGTATTTATTTAGTTACCGTTTAATCGCATCAATGTCTTGTACATTATACAGCATAATTTTTCCCTTGCAACTACCATAGATTCTTTGAAAAGCTTTTACTGTCCATTCTTTTATCAATTCTCATATCCTTCCTTATCAAGGACATTAATAGCAAGTAAGTTCATTCTCATATCCAAAATGTGTCTAACATCTCTCAAAGTCAACATGTAGCCCATACTAGTTTGTACAATAATATCACTAATCCTAATAATCTACGACACACTCTTATTTTCCATCTTGGTGCAACCAAAGTTCTTACTTTGTAAGTTGTAAACAACTCTCTCTTAGGAACACAATGATATGCCACTCCTGTGTTAACTATCCATTCAATGCCAAGATCACTAACATGATTACAATCCCTATGTATACAAATCAAAGTAACTGAATCACTATCTGAATCATTATCTGAATTCATTGCTACAACATTACTATCATATGATCTCTTGTTATTCTCATCTTTTCGCTGTTACTTCAAGATTTTGAAGTATTGCTTTATATGACTTACTTTACCATAATGAAAACACTTCCCTTTTTTTATGGACTTAGATCTATGTTTAGACTTACTATCGCCTTTTGAGTTTTGACCTCTGTCAATGTTTCTACCCCTACTCTTTATAACAAGAGCTTGATTCTTAGGGTTTAAATCTTTTCGTCTTACTTTTTCATTAAATATACTATCATTTACCATCTCCAATGTCACCTTGTAATCTGGAGCTAAATTAAAGAACAGTTACAACTAAAGTATTTCAACTATCTGACAATGAATCCCAAAAGAAATAATGCGCTTTCATTTTATCATCTATCTTGAGCTCTATAATAGTCATCTGATTAGATATATTTTGAAAATCACTCAAGTGCTCTTTAACTGATCGTTCATCCATGTACTATAAAATTACAAGCTTTTTAACAAGCATAACTTTATTCATATATGTTTTTCTCTCATACATTGTTACTAATTTTTTCAAACAATGTGAGCATCTATCTCCTGCACTACATGATGAAACATACTGATATCAACCATTTTCTAATTGTAGCAGTATCTTTTGACCTAACTTCTTTCAGCTTTCATCTTTTAAATTTGTTAGTTTAGCCAAATCACCCAATACTGACCTATACAAATCTTTGCAATATAAATGATCATCCATTATAGGCTTCTAAATTGAATAATTTGATATTATCAATTTTATCATGGAACTTGTATTACCCTCTATGATCTCAAATAAAATTTACTTCTATCTTGAGTTGCTTTTGCATTGATATCTTAAAATAACCCTTGCTTTAATACTACTTGTTGGACCTGAAGCAACAAACATAATAACGTAAAAGCAATATATCATAATAAACTCATAGTAATAGACAACAATCAACAATCAACAATGCAGAAAAAATAAAGCACACCCAGATTTACGTGATAACCCTCCAGTGTAAAGAAAAAAAATCATAAACACCAAAAAAATCTTTACTATTAAATAATGGATATACAAAGTTCTCCTCTAACTAAAACTAGAGTTAATCAATAACTAGAGAGATAATTTGAAAATTTTCACCAAATAAGTGACTCTACAAATACACCTTAAATTTATTTTTAAAAAGCTTTAAACTCAATCTTCATCATTCAGAATGTAAAACTATTAATCATAAACCTGTTAATAAAATTTTAATCAAATCAAACTACAAATCAATTTCTATTCAACCAACTCTCCCTTCTCTTTTTTTTTTTTTTTTATCTTTTCTTGCTTTTCTTTTTTCTCTATTCGACATCCCTTTTTCTTCACACCAAAACCAGCGCTCACATATTTTATTATGTAAGGCTCTCATAGACTAACCTAAAACATAAAGGCCGTGATCTTTGAAAAGTCAAATAACACAGAAGAACTTAAAACATAAGGGCCAAGACCTTTGAAAAGTCAAATAACACAAGGGCTGGACCCCACTCTTTCTAACAGAAGTACGGTCAAGAACTAGGATCAGTGCGGGGCAAACGCTAAGGGTTAATTCAGGGTCAGGGCATCCTATGTCTTTTAGGCTATCAGGATTAAGTCCAAGAGCTTCACATAGGAACTGAAGCAGAGTCAATCCCAAGTCCCAACTCCATCACTCTTTTTCAAAAAACCGATTGCTATGTCTCTGCAAATTGATTAAAGTTGTGCAATTCAAGCAGACTATATAATACGGAGAAAGAGAGAAGAGAATGTGAAACATTACAATCCTCATCACAGACCTGAAAACCTCTGGCAATCTGCAGAACTAGGCGGATGAGGAGCCAATGGTAATATTGAGTTTGTCCCTTCAATTTGCAGCTTGTGATTTATACAAACCAACATTAATTAGAAAAGAAAACTTTCTGATGAGATCAGGCGTGTAGAACTCTTTATTCACCTCGACATCCATCCAGTGGAGGATGCAAATGCAAAGATAGGGAGTCCATGGATACTGCCAAAGTTTGGAAAACAAAAAGATATGAAGAAAAATATTTCATCAGACATCCCAAAAATTTTTCCTAACATCCCAAAATTTTCTCTTAAACATATCTTTCTTAATTCCATACCACTTCATTCACAGCCAATAATCAATACCGAGTCACAGCACAATACAGTTAGCCAACATCCATCACCTAGCAGACACCTACTGTCCTAAGTGGACGTTCCAAAAAAAAAATCCTAAATCCCCCACCGCATCCATCTCATGAAATTTACCTAGCCCATCAATCATCTCATCCAAAACATCTGATCGTAATACCATGGTTAACAACCTGGAAGAAACCCCAATTCTCACACGCAGTTCGAACTTCTTCAATTGTCTCTTTATGTCGAGATAAATCTTTGTTTATGCCTTCCAGGTTAATGATTGGAACACTGAACTGTGAACCGCTATTACTACCAGCTGATCTTTCTCGAGGATAAATTGTTGATCAACAAATATACGAGGAATTCTCATCTTTTTTCCCCTTTCTTTAGCAATATCTTCAGAGGTTAAGCAATGGAAACCTGATGAATTTTCTACAGCCCTCCAAGTGGAGTCCATAGTCCCACTCATTCTTTGTACAGTTGGACCATCAGTCGTACTAATGCAGCAACACATCATTTGAAATATCTCCTTCAAATTGCTTGTGGTCGCCCACTTATTTTTTCTTGTTGGCCCAGGTAGCTAAAGAACAGCTTCGTTTTTTCTTTTTGAGAGGAAAGAATCAAAAGAAAAACTTAAAAATAATATTACACGCCTCACTGATATCTCACAGAAAATTAGTGATTAAAAATTAACAATCAGCAAAATTCGAGAAATTTGACTTGAGTTTCAGCATTATGCATCAATCCAAGCAAGCACAGAAGCATAGACATATCATTAACACAGAATAATAAAGCTCCAAACATATGAGATCAATATGGATATCCTTGATCAAAAGTTCAATAGAAGAAATAACACACAACGCATCAGGTGGCACAAACTTTCTGCAAATATCTCCTCTTGACTTCATAGCTTGAGATGTAACAGTGAAGAGGTCTGATCAATCACTTGTGTATAGTAGTGTGACAAATAATCATGCATGGATGTCTCCCTATAGATGGGGGGATTTTCTTCTGATAATAATTCCTTGATTGGTCCATAAAGTCTAGAGGCATTTCCTTTATCATGAGCTTGTGTTCTGAAAAAACTTGCCACTGAAATTCTAGGGCCTTCACGTTTTACCAACACCCTATGATTGACACTTTTAAACACGCCATTGGAAATAAGCTGCATAGAAATAAGAAATGCATCTGCTTAAACAATATGATATATTCCATTTGTAACTGGCAACAAAGACGCTTGCGAAAAAATATCAGAAACATTGCAGGACAAGACAGAATTAATGCAGTATTCAAGGTTATCAGATGGACTTGCCTGTAGAAGATCTCCAATATTTACTACTAGGGCTCCAGGAATGTATGGTACATCAATCCATTGATCCTCATGAAGAACTTGCAGACCACCAATTTGGTCTTGCAGAAGTATTGTCATGAAGTTGGTATCAGTGTGGCTGCAAGTGCCCATGGTTAATTCTGGTTCAGGGCATTTAGGATAATAATGTCCCAGGAGGACGAGTCCCTCAGCACAATTCATGTCATTGAGACGGCTTGGGTTAAGCCCCAGGGCCTCAGAGAGAACTTCAAACAATGTAACTGCCAATGTTATTACTCTCTTGGAATAATCCATCACTATGTCTCTGCATGTTTGTTGATGAAAGCAAATTCAAGCAGCCAAGAGAATTGTAATTCTCACATGATAAATGATAGTAACAGTAAGCAGAGGCAATAACAATTAAGTTGAATTCAACAGAAAATAGGACTACAAAATAGAACCCACAAAAACATTATTATCTACAGAAATCATCTTATTATAGTCAATTGAATTATCTCCGACCAAGGTGGAAAGAGACATTAACTGAACTTAATAGTAAGATGAAAATTCAACAGAAATAGTCAGTCACATAAAAAGTGTTTACTGTTTAGTTTTAGGATCAATTTTAACCAACCCAGTTCCTTCCATGCTAGTATCAGACCATCAGTCTTTCCACATACCTGCAAACTCCAGGCAATTCCTCAGGGTCCGGTGATTCAGGAGAAATGATGCAAGTCAATGTGTCCCTCCAAGTAGCTGTTTGTGATTTATACAAATTAAAATTGCTCACGAATAGTACCTTTCTGGTACGCTCGCGTGTATAAAACGCCTTCTTCACCTCAGTTTCTTGCTCATGAAACCTTCGTACACCATCAATCATCTCATCCAAAACACTGACGGGAATTCCATGGTTAACTATCTGAAAGAAACCCCAATTTTCAGAACCATTTCTAACTAACTCAATTATCTTTGCACGCAGGGTTAAATCTTCTTTGACACCCTGAAGGTCTATGATTGGAACACTGAACTGGGAATTGGTATAAACTGATTTCTTCTCAGGGGAAAGTTGCGGATCAATGAAAAAACGAGGAATTTTGGTTATCCCAGACTCTACTAGTCCCTTGACTCCAGCTTTTGAATCATCAAAAGCTTTGATTTCACTTTTAAGATCATAATCAGAGTTAGCTTCTGTTTGAATTTTTCTACTTTCAGTGAGCATCATGATAGATCTTTGTTACCATTCCGAATCCCTCTGATATGACTCCTTCCGATGACTCTGAAACTTCTTTTCAGGTGGGGACAGAACAAATATAAACGGACAAGATATCCATGACACTACAACTTTCACCCTGTAGCAGAAAACCAAAAGCATAGAAGACAAAGATTAAAAAATGAAAAAAGTATAGAAGACAAAAAATACAAAACGACAAACCAACTCAAATAGTCCTGGCAAGCGAGTTATGAAATATAAATGACCAAAAAAATAAATTAAAAAAAAAAAAAAAAACTGATGAAATGAATCCTAAAGGGCGGTGGATTCTTAATATCTTCTGTAAATTCAACTCAGTTTCACAGCTTGAAATTTGATAGTGAACAGGCACCATCAAGCCTTTCAGAATAGGAGTGAGACAAAATATGTTAGGAAAATGAGGTCCAGTCCCATGTAAATGGTTTTGGACCAAATAAAGGCCATGGACCTTGATTTTTTATTTTACACAGAGCTCTAGCTACTTAATAAAAAAGATGTGGGGTTGTTTAAGGTGTGTGTCGACAACCAAGTAGAGAAAGAAGAAAAGCCAGGAAAAGCAGAGAGAGAAAAAGGAGAAGGGAGAGTTGGTTAAACGGAAGTCGATCCGTGGTCCGATTGAGTTGGAACCTTGTCAGGAGGTTTATGATTCAGAGTTATACATTCTGAACGGTGAAGATCGGGTTTGAAACTCTCTAGGAACAAATCCATGGTGTATTTGTTGAGTCACTTATTTGGTGAGATTTCTCCAATTGTTTCTCTAGTTGTTGATTAGCTCTAGTTTTAGCTAGAGAAGAACTTTGTATAACTATTATTTGATAGTGAAGATTTTTCTGGTGGCCCGTGGTTTTTCCCTCTACACTGGAGGGTTTTTCACGTAAATCTTGGTGTGCTTTATTTTTCTTGCGCATTTGATTATTGATTGTTGTCTATTGCTTCTGTATTGTTGTGATTATTGCTTCAGGCGCAACAAGTGGTATCAGAGCGAGAGTTATTTTGAGACATCGATACAGAAGCAACCCAGGATAGAAGTAAATTCTGTTTGAGATCATGGAGGGTGATACAGGTTCCATGCTAAAATTGACAGTATCAAATTATTCAATTTGGAAGCCTATGATGGAGGATTATCTATACTGCAAAGATTTATATGAGCCAGTATTGGGTGATTCGGCTAAACCAGCAGATATGAAAGATGAAAGCTGAAAAAAGCTAGGTAGAAAGACGCTGGCTACAATCAGAAAATGGGTTGATATCAGCGTGTTTCATCATGTAGCGCAGGAGTCAGATGCTCACATTGTTTGGGAAAAATTGGCAGCATTGTATGAGAGAAAAATAGGTATGAATAAAGTTATGCTTGTTAAAAAAATTGCAACTTTACAGTACAGGGATGGACGATCTGTTACAGAGCACTTGAGTGATTTTCAAGATATATTTAATCGGATGACTACTATGGAACTTAAGATGGATGATGAAATGAAGGTATTATTTCTTTTGGGTTCATTGCCAGACAGTTGGAATACTCTAGTTGTGACTGTTCTTAATTCAGCTCCAGATTATAAGGTGACATTGGAGATGGTAAAGGACAGTATGCTTAATGAAGAAGCCAGGCGAAAAGATGTAGACCCTGGGAATCAAGCTCTGGTCACAGAGAACAGGGGTAGAAACATCGACAGAGGTCAGGACTCAAAAGGCCGTGGTAAGTCTAAACATAGATCCAAGTCTAGAGGTAAAGTGAAGTGTTTCCATTGTGGTAAGGCGGGTCATATAAAACGAAACTGTAAAATCTTAAAGCAAGAGCAAAAAGATGAGAAAGGTAAGAGTTCAGATGATGGCAATGTTGCAGCAGTGAATTCAGATAGTGATTCAGTTACTTTGATTTGTACACATGGTGATTGTAATCATGTTAGTGATCCCGGCATTGAGTGGATAGTTGACACAAGAGCGGCATATCATTGTGTTCCTAAGAGAGAGTTGTTTACAACTTACAAAGCAGGAGACTTTGGTTGTACCAAGATGAGAAACAAGAGTGTGTCGCAGATTGTTGGGATTGGTGATATTGTTGTACAAACTAGTACAGGCTGCATGTTGACTTTAAGGGATGTCAGACACATTCCAGATATGAGAATGAACTTGCTTGCTATTAATGTCCTTGATAAGGAGGGATATGAAAGCCGACAAAAGAATGGACAGTGAAAGCTTCTCAAAAGATCTATGGTAGTTACAAGGGGAAAACTATGCTGCACAATGTATAAGACATGGATGCAATTGAACGGTAACCAGGTAAATACCGTTGAAAATAATGCTTCAGCAAACTTGTGGCACAGGAGGCTGGCACACATGAGTGAAAAAGGGTTACAGGTTTTGGCAAGGCACTCTCTCATTCCCTTGATCAAAGGTATGTCTCTCGATTCATGTGATTATTGTTTGTTTGGTAAGCATCATAGAGTTTCTTTTCGTAAAAGTTCTCAGAGAAAAGAAAATAGATTAGAATTAATTTATTCTGACGTATGTGGTCCCATTGAGGTTGAGTCATTAGGTGGTAGCAGATATTTTGTTACTTTTATTGATGATGTTTCACGTAAGACTTTGGTGTATATGTTGAAATACAAAAGTCAGGTACTACAGTATTTTCAAAAATTTCATGCCATGGTTGAAAGGATGACAGGGTTATCCTTGAAGTGTATTCGAACTGATAATGGTGGGGAATACACATCTAAAAGCTTTGGAGAGTATTGCTCAAAGCATGGGATCAGGCATGAGAGGACAGAACCTGGAACACCGCAACATAATGGTATAGCTGAAAGAATGAATCGCACCATTGTAGAAAAAGTCAGATGTATGTTGAGGATGGAAAAATTACCAAAGCCATTCTGGGGTGAAGCAGTCAACACAGCTTGTTATTTACTTAACAGGTCACCATCAGTTCCTTTGGGCTTTGACATTCCAAAAAGAGTGTGGACAGAAAAAGATGCTTCATACTCTCACTTAAAAATTTTTGGGTGTAAAGCATTCATGCATGTGCCGAAAGAGCAGAGATCAAAGCTTGACAGTAAAGCTACACAGTGTGTGTTTGTAGGATATGGTGATGAGGAATTTGGCTACAGGGTATGGGATCCAGTAAAGAGAAAGACAGTCAGAAGCAGAGATGTGGTCTTTCATGAAAAAGAAACCATAGCAGACCTTGAGAAAAATGAGAAGACTACACGCGTTACTGTTAAGTGTGATATTTCAACACCGACAGGGATTTCACAGGAAAGAGCCACAGATGGTGAAAATGAGCCAGAAACAGAACTTGGGGATATGGATGAGCCAGCTACAGTTGGTAATGAGCCAGATGCTATTAGTTTTGAGCAGGGGGAGCAATCCTCTCTACCTGAGAGTGTTGAGCATGGGGAGCTACCTTCGTCATCAAGTGATGTAGAGTCTCAGCCTAGGAGATCTACTAGAGAGCGCAGGCCATCTACCAGGTATCCAAGTTCAGATTTTATTTTAGTTACCAGTGAAGGGGAGCCAGAAAGCTTTCAAGATGTGCAGGCTACTCCGGATAGAGAGCACTGGTTAAAAGCAATGAAAGAAGAGATGGAGTCATTGCGAAAGAATGATACTTATGATCTTGTTAAACTTCTAACAGAAAAGAGGCCATTAAAGAATAAATGGGTGTTCAAGTTGAAAAAGAATGGTGACAAACTAGTGAGGTACAAAGCTCGATTGGTAGTAAAAGGTTTTTCTCAAAAACCAGGCATCGATTTTGATGAGATTTTTGCTCCAGTTGTAAAAATGAGTTCTATTCAAGTGGTACTGGGATTGGCAGCTAGTTTGAATCTTGAGCTTGAGCAACTTGATGTTAAAACTGCATTTTTGCATGGTGATTTACAGGAGGACATTTATATGAATCAGCCTGAGGGTTTTGAAGTGAAAGGGAAAGAGCACTTAGTTTGCAAATTGAAGAAAAGCTTGTATGGCTTGAAACAAGCTCCGCGACAGTGGTACAAAAAGTTTGATTCTTTTATGGTGAGTCATAGCTATAAAAAAATAGCAGCGGATTCTTGTGTGTATATTAAACAATTCCCTAATGGTAACTTCATTATCCTATTATTATATGTTGATGATATGTTGATTGTAGGACAAGATGCTAGTATGGTTTACAGGTTGAAAGAACAATTGTCTAAGTCCTTTGATATGAAGGATTTAGGTCCAGCAAAGCAGATTCTTGGTATGGACATTATCCGAGATAGGAGAGCTAGAAAGCTGTGGTTGTCACAGGAAAAGTATGTTGAATGAGTGCTTGGTAGATTCAACATGCAACATGCTAAATCAGTTAGCAGTTCACTTGCCAACCATTTTCATCTAAGTAAGAAATCTTGTCCAGTGTCTAAGGAAGAGCAACTAGCTATGTCTAGTATTCTTTATTCTTCTGCAGTCGGTTCTTTAATGTATCTTATGGTTTGTACAAGGCCTGACATTGCTCATGCAGTTGGTGTAGTGAGCAGATTTCTTTCTAATCCAGGGAAGGTTCACTGGGAAGCAGTAAAATGGATTTTTAGATATTTGAGGGGTACCTCAAAAATGTGTTTGACTTATGAAGTTTCACAACCAATTCTAGAAGGGTTTACTGATGCTGACATGGCAGGTGATCTTGATGGTAGAAAATCTACTTCAGGGTATTTGTTCACTTTTGCAGGAGGAGCTGTATCTTGGCAGTCTAAGTTGCAGAAGTGTGTTGCTTTGTCAACTACAGAAGCTGAGTATATTGCAGCAACTGAAGCATGTAAAGAAATGCTTTGGATGAAACGTTTTCTTTTTGAATTGGGATTGAATCAGAAAGAGTATGTGGTATTTTGTGATAGCCAGAGTGCTTTAGATTTGAGTAAGAATACCATGTACCATGCTAGAACAAAGCACATTGATGTTAGATATCATTGGTTACGTTCAGTGATTGAAGAACAGCAGATGCTATTGAAGAAAGTCCATACTGATAAAAATGTGGCAGATATGTTGACTAAGATACTTCCCAGGGAAAAGCTTGAGCTTTGCAGTAACTTGGCCGGAATGAGTTCCCTGGCCAAGGTAAGTTCCAAATGAAATTGCTATGGTGATGAATCTCCTTCTAATGGGACTGGAGGGGGAGATTGTTAGGAAAATGGGGTCCAGTCCCATGTAAGTGGTTTTGGACCAAATAAAGGCCATGGGCCTTGATCTTTTATTTTACACAGAGCCCTAGCTACTTAATAAAAAAGAGGTGGGGTTGTTTAAGGTGTGTGTCGACAACCAAGCAGAGAAAGAAGAAAAGCCAGGAAAAGCAGAGAGAGAAAAAGGAGAAGGGAGAGTTGGTTAAACGGAAGTCGATCCGTGGTCCGATTGAGTTGGAACCTTGTCAGGAGGTTTATGATTCAGAGTTATACAT